GTATATCCAAATAAGTCATGTATTCGCGGAGAAACACCCCTCTGAGTCTTCCATGTCCCAAAAAATATTCAAAAAATTTTTTTCAAAAATTTTCTCAAATAGATAGGGTTACTGTAGAATTCGCTTAGAACATGTTTTATAGACTGTTTTTAATGTAGTTTCGAATGAGCTATAGTATATCCAAATAAGTCATGTATTCGCGGAGAAACACCCCTCTGAGTCTTCCATGTCCATAAAAATATTCAAAAAATTTTTTTCAAAAATTATCTCAAATAGATAGGGTTACTGTAGAATCCGCTTAGAACAAGTTTTATAGACTGTTTTTAATGTAGTTTCGAATGAGCTATAGTATATCCAAATATGTCATGTATTCGCGGAGAAACACCCCTCTGAGTCTTCCATTTCCATAAAAATATTCAAAAAATTTTTTTCAAAAATTTTCTCAAATAGATAGGGTTACTGTAGAATCCGCTTAGAACAAGTTTTATGGACTGTTTTTAATGTAGTTTCGAATGAGCTATAGTATATCCAAATAAGTCATGTATTCGCGGAGAAACACCCCATTGAGTCTTCCATGTCCCAAAAAATATTCAAAAAAATTTTTTCAAAAATTTTCTCAAATAGATAGGGTTACTGTAGAATCCGCTTAGAACAAGTTTTATAGACTGTTTTTAATGTAGTTTCGAATGAGCTATAGTATATCCAAATAAGTCATGTATTCGCGGAGAAACACCCTTCTGAGTCTTCCATGTCCCAAAAAATATTCAAAAATTTTCTCAAATAGATAGGGTTACTGTAGAATCCGCTTAGAACAAGTTTTATAGACTGTTTTTAATGTAGTTTCGAATGAGCTATAGTATATCCAAATAAGTCATGTATTCGCGGAGAAACACCCTTCTGAGTCTTCCATGTCCCAAAAAATATTCAAAAATTTTCTCAAATAGATAGGGTTACTGTAGAATCCGCTTAGAACAAGTTTTATAGACTGTTTTTAATGTAGTTTCGAATGAGCTATAGTATATCCAAATAAGTACAATTTGTCTTCGTGTTTTAGATACAGAATTTTCTGCTGATTCGAATGGTATATAGAATCCTCCAGTCGCACGTATCACCATCCAGAAAATCAAATTTGAAAATATTCAATTAAAAAAATATTAAAAAATTATATATTGTATTATATCTTCTTGTATATTGATTGGGTACAATTCGTCTTCGTGTTTTAGATACAGAATTTTCTGCTGATTCGAATGGTATATACCATCATAGATGCACAAGAATAACCATCAAGAAAATTAAATTTAAAAATATTCAATTAAAAAAAATATTGGAGAGAATACTTAAAAAAACAAATCGATATCTTCCATAATTCCTACTAGAGATCGATCTGAATCCAGTCTGGATTTTTCCTTGAATTTTTATGTCTGGATCCTTCTCATCCTTATATTTCTGAAAATTTTTTTTTCTGAAAATTTTTTCTTCATTTGTTTTATTTTTTTTTTTTTGATTTTTTTGATTTCTTTGAATTTTCAATTTTTTAAATTTATTTGGTATAATTTTTTACTTAAATATTTTTAATAAAAAATTTTTTACTTCTCTTTGAAGACCATCTTCAGAAAGTTTTTTTGATAAATAAATATTTTTTTTCATTTGTAATTATTCTTTTGGTGGTTTTGTTGGTGGTTGATTTTCTCTAGAATTTTTGGCCATCAGTTTCTCTTTTATATCTTCACTCCTTTTTTTGATTTTCTAGTTTTATATTTCCATAAGATATGACATCTTTAAAAATTTTTGGTTTAGTATTTCTCAATAACAGTATCAGAATTGGACGTTTTTCAAGTAAATTTGACGTAAATTTTTTTACCTTTTTTTTGAAGATGCGAAAGGTAGACATCGATTGTCTAAGCTTTTTTTACCTTCACATTTTTGAATCTTAAATTAATTTGGCGTGATTCTGCGTTTATCTAGTAGTTGAGAATTATTTTTAGTAAAAATTATTTTTACTTTAGTTCATCAAGCAAAGGAAAAGCATTTGGTTCTATTTTATGTGCATATTCATATTCACTATATTCATAAATCATTTGACACTAATCACATCGGAGAGTTTTTGTTGAAAGTCATTTTAAGTTCTGGAAATAATATACTTTTAGTAACTCTTTCAATTATTTATGATAATTGTTAATTAATTTTGTTCTTTGTAAATCTAAAACTTACGTCAATTGTATTTGAAGTGAGGGCCATATAATAGATAGGATTGATTGTAACTTAATTAAAAAATTTAACATTTTTCTAAATAAGTTTTGTAAATTCACTACTTAGCTTTTAAGACATTAAAGAAAATTCTTCAGGTTCATTCTCTCCAAATTTTCATCTTATCTTTCATTAAGAGTTAAATTTCAATATGTATTTGTGGAATATTAATGCATTTTTGTTGTTATTGTTTTATCTCAGGTTTTTCGTCAATTAAGTGCAAATTTGATATAGTTTTCTGTACTATTTGATAGAGAACCCCTGGCTTGCTATTACAAAGTGATATCCGTTTTTCTGCAAAATAAAGAGGTATCGCCAGTAAAATTGGACACTAGAGTCAAAGGGTTAATGAGCAACTTATAACTTCCTTTTCATCTTCACAAATCAATCTTTTCTTCCCGCCTCATTGTAAGTACGACTATGTAAAGAAAGCAGAAAGAGTGAAAAAGATAGCTCGCTTGTCTTGTTTTTTCCCCATACTCAAATGCCCAAAGATATAGCTAAATATATATTTCAGGGCTCCGATCGACAAAATGCCACTCAAAAGTATCAAAATCTTGTAAAAAAAGTACATAGGGAGAAAATTTGCAAATAAAAAGTACACTCAAAATTAAATTTGAAAATATTTATTCGTGATCAATCTTTTATATTTCTCTCCTAAATTAATCTTTTCTAATAATTTCTTGTTTCAACTGAGCATTTTGTGCATTTCATTGCATGACATGTCAAAATTTGCTGTCACATGAAGCAAAGCTCTGACAGTCTTAACCTCAAGCGAGTTTCTTTCCTTCGTCCATTGAATGTTTGCCATTGAGAAGCGCCGCAGGCGAAAATTTTTTGAAATTTGGAGCCTAAGAAGCCAGATTTCTTCTTTTTCAGCGCCGCAGGCGAAAATTTTGAGAATTTTGGAGGTCCTTAAGCCAGATTTCTTCCATTTTTTGCGCCGCAGGCGAAAATTTTGAGAATTTTGGAGGTCCTTAAGCCAGATTTCTTCCATTTTTTGCGCCCAGGCGAAAATTTTGAGAATTTTGGAGGTCCTTAAGCCAGATTTCTTCCATTTTTTGCGCCGCAGGCGAAAATTTTGAGAATTTTGGAGGTCCTTAAGCCAGATTTCTTCCATTTTTTGCGCCGCAGGCGAAAATTTTGAGAATTTTGGAGGTCCTTAAGCCAGATTTCTTCGTTTTTTCAAAAATGTTGATAAAAAAGTACATACTTTCAAAAAAGTACAAATTCAATTTCGGAAGTACGAAGGTCGATAAAAAAGTACAATACTTTTAAAAAAGTACGAATCGGAGCCCTGATATATTTATATAGACAATAAACGGTAAAAAGATCACAGGGTTTTTATAAAAAATATAAACGAATTATGTATCTATTTTTCACAGGATAAAAAAACATCATCAGTTAGCATTACCATCAGTATTGTTGTCCAATCTATAGATTTTTTAAAATTTTTCTCCATTCTACAGATTTTTTTTCATTTTTTATTTCCCTGTTTCATATGGTTCCCGGAGATTTGGGCTCCCCAAAGTTGAACTTTAAAAATTTTTCGGAAAGTTGGGCTTTTATTGAAAGAATGGAATATTGTTATGGAATCTTGGGCAATCTTCTAGCATTCCAAAATCATTAAAATTTAATGTTGTGGCGTTGAAAAACGGATTCGTGTAGGTTGTTCTAGCTCAAAATTGGTTATTTTTATGAACTCGAACCGAACTCTAGTTAAGTACCCGACTGTGTTTTTAATTTGTGGTCCAGTATTGCGTTGTACCGTAATTTTGAATGTACCGTAATTTGCTATTGTGTATGTAATTTTTGTACCGTAATTTCATTATATCGTAATTTAATTTTTTTGTTTAACTTACTTGTCTTTTAATAAGTCGATTTTACGTTCCAGCATTTCACAATTTTTATTTGCATTATCTAATTTTTTTTCAAGTTCCCTTAAAATATACTTTTATTTCCAATAGTGTAAATTCCTTAATATTTTAGTCATAATCTTGTATTTTCATATTTTTAACCTCAAAAATGTTATGGGGGTTTTGGTGGTTTGACCATTGGGTTCGACTTATGGGTTTTGACCATTTCGAGCTCTAAATCTCGGCTCAATGTTGCACAAAATTAGAACCATCCCTCTTAATCCGTATAAATCCGCAAAATTCTTTTATCTCGATTTATTGGGACTGGGCCGTTTTGGCGCGGGCTTATAAGATAGCGAGTTGCTTATCAAAAATGGTAAAATTTTGCAATAATAACTCTCGTGCCTTTATCTAAGTTCTCCAAAAGTTTTAGAATTTTTGATCAAGAATTTCAGAAATTGTGGCCAAAAATGTTGTTTTTTTTTTCAAAATGCCTAATTTTTTGAGGTTTATCGACTATAACCTCGTAAATATTGAAAGAAAAATTCTGAAATTTCTGGAGGAGGTAGTCAAGGATGTTAAAGAAATTTAAGAAAATTTTAACTTTCTTTTATCTTTTATTTTTGCCTCACTTTTATTTTTTTTATTTTTAATTATGCAAATTAAATGTAAGCTTACTCTTTTTCAGCTTGTAATTTATTTGTTTACTCTCTTTTCTTCTCCAATTCTTCATTAAAATCGTTCATCGTTTTTTTCAACTATTTGTAATTTTTATTTAAAATCATTTTTATTTAAATTATCGTTATTATAATCACGATCAGCGGTGGGCGCAAGAGACAATTTTAAAAACGCAACGAAATGTAATGCGCTCACTTCTGCTCATGAAGTCAGAATTTCTTTTTTTATAAATTCCACATTTTTAAATTTTACTTTTTCCGCCTCAAGAGTGTATTTAAGTTGTGTCTGGGCTATACAAATTTTTAAAGATATCCCACCTTTTGGTCAAAATCATCATACATTTTATTATTTCTATTTCTTTCTCCATCATACAATGCTTGGGCCGCTAGGGAAAAATTTATTTTGGTTGAAATAAAGGGAGGGGTATTTACCGGCCAAATCTTTTTCCATTTTTTTAACTTTCACTTGTTTTTGTTTTTTTCTTTTTCCAACTCATCCCTAGCATTTGCCAAATCGGTCTCCATCTCTCGATTATGCCTAGTACACCCTTTTTCGAATTCCCGTCTTTTTTTATTTATCTGGATTATTAGAATTAGTTTTTATTTATTAAGATTAAAGGGTGCCGGAATTTTCATCTCCGGAATTTTCTTATCCAAATTTTCGGAAATCTATGCAGTATATATTTAAATTTCTATTTTAATTTCTATTTCCTAGTTTATAGTTTTCTACCAGAGTATAGGTTCCAAAAAGGCTTAGATAGGTCAAGAAAATTTTGAAAAGTGGCTCATTTTTGGGGTAAAATAATAATAGCTGGTCAGAATTTGAACTGAGTTACCTCCTCAGCTTCATTAAATTTTTTCCTTATTTCAGCATTTTCCTTCTCAATACTAGCAATCCTTCCAGAGTACTCATCAATAATATTCTTTCTAATGGCATTCGAGGCCCCAGCTAATGGCATTCGAGGTCCACACGAAACACGCAAAAGAAAATATGTTAACCAAGACAACAATCTTACTGCTATTCTCAACGATTTTAACAACCGGGAACCACTAACTTACTTGCGATCTTGTGCATACCATTTGCACTTTTAAAGGTAATAGTGCAGTTACCAGCCCCCTTTTTTCTCCCAAAGTTCTTTCCTATATAAATTCTGATATAAATATATAAATAAAAATAAAGTCTTATATAAAAAATATATAAAATATATATAATAAAAAATATATATAATAAAAAACTAGAAAAAAGGGGGCCCAGTAACTGCACTATTACCCTTTTAAAGAACGATGTTTGAGAACAAAAGTCGGCACCAATAAGTCCACTAATTTAGGAAAAAATTTACTTGACTCAAGTATCCACATTTTTTAAAAATTTGGCTTTACTGTCGAAATTAGTCGCTGACGAAATTAATCATTGTCGAAAATCGAGGAAAACGGTGAAAAAAGAAAAAATAGTTCACTGTCGAATTTAGTCACTGTCGCATTTAGTCACTGTCGAATTTCACTGTCGAATTTAGTCGCTGTCGAATTTAGTCACTGTCGAAATTATCAGACACGAACCAACTAACACACCAATTTTCAAAGACATACATACATCTTTTCGTTGAAAAGTTGGTATTTTTCAAAGAAAAGTTTCATTTTTCCATTTCTTTCTTTCCATTTTCCCTTTGCTTTTCTTCATTCAACTAACTTGTCATTTTTTATGGTGAAGGTTGCCACAAGTGACAACCTTTATTCATTTTTGTAGTTGGTTATCTTCGTAAACCTATGATGGGGCTCTTTTTTTAAATTGCGTTTTTACTAAAAAATTTTTTAAATTAAGATTTTTTTAATTTTTTAGACGATCAAATTGTGTCATTAGAAGAATTTCAAAATCGAAAATCTTCTCAAAATTTCGCCGACTACAATTCTTTCAACACTACTTGCCCTCCCAGCGACAGCAGCGACGTCAACATGGGATTCGACATTGGATACAATAATTTACATCAACAACGGGGAAACAATTATCAACAGAAGGCGAAGAAATGGCACTTTAATGGTTTATAATTTAAATTTCTTACTTTTGTACTAACCCAGGAAATCTTGTTTTTGTTGTATTCGCCTTTTTGGTTAGGTGAAGAATTTTAAGGATCCTAAGGGGAAGCGGTGTGGGTTCAAATCCCGTTGGGTGTCAACCTTTTCTGATTTTCTTCAGTATTTTGGCTATTTTTGGGTTAAGTCACATTATGAGAATTAAAACAATTTTTTCAATTCGTAGGCTACTACCGTCTCGTTGACGATCACTTGGGCTTTGGAGCTTATGCCTCCGTAAAAACTGCAATCAATTTGGCTAGCGGAGAGGAATACGCTGTTAAAGTTGTGAACAAACACAAACATGGTCATACTCGTTCGTGTATCATGCGAGAAGTCCAAATTTTCAAACTTTCGAAATCATCCGAATATTGGTATTTATTTTTCTTTAAGTCTTTCGATTTTTTGAGTTCGGGCTTTGGTTCTGGGCGTGGTAATGGGTCTCCAGGCAATTTTGATGAACCCCAGGGAAATTCAGGATTTTAAAAATGCCTTGGGTGTTGGCTATGAAGTTGTGGTTTGGATTTGGTTAGCCATCGAGATATCAACCTGGCATTTTTTAGTTTTTCCTTTTGTGGGGGACAGGGATTTTGGGGAATTTTTTTAAAAAATTTCTTCGATTTTTAGAAAATATTCTCTGTACCGATGTAGACAAAATCTCTCCAGTCAAACTGTGGTTTGGATTTGGCTAGCAAACCATTCGATGCTACTACAACACCTGGCTAGAATTGGCTAGCCCAGTTGGAAATGCTAAATTTCTTTTTCGATTTTAAAGAGTATTTTTAAAATTATGGCACTTGTGTTTGTGGAGAATGAGCTTGTCTACATAAAAACACAAGTGCCATTAATTTTATTTTTTTTAATTTTTCTTTTTTAACTTGATCGACTACCTGCCCTCACATTGACAGCAGCGACGTCAACATGCGATGCGACATTGGATACAATAATTCCCATCAACAACGGGGAAACAATTATCTACAGAAGGCGAAGAAATGGCACTTTAATGGTATAATTTAAATTTTTTACTTTTGAGCTAACCTTAGAAAAAATCCGTAAAAACTGATGACGGGATCCTAACTAGACTAAAATTCCGTTCTAACTCTTCGAAAGACGAGGAGTAGAGGGTTGAGACAGGAATCCAAAGACCGTTTTCTAAGCCTGAGGATTTTCTGGACTCTAGACTTTTGTTAATAAACTAAGTTAAGAAAAAACTCTTCAGGCGTAACAGACGTATAGATCTTAATGAGATTTATTTTGGCTTTTGTTCATAAGTTTAATTTATCCGTCTCCGGTCAAATAGGGTAATAAGACATAAGGATAATTTTTTAAGTAAGGATATCCTTAAATCCTTGAATTCATATCTTTTTTCGGGCTATTTTCGCTGATTTTATTTTTGTTATGTCTGGAGAGTTTTTTTGGATTTTACAAGTAATTAAAGGCATTTACCATTTTGTTATTAATGTTTCAACTACAATCTTCGTTTCAGGCACCTCCAGGCATTTAACAACAACAACAATTAATTATTCCAACAGAAATTAATTCTTCAACAACAACAACAATTAATTAAACCATTAAAATCAACAACAAAAGCAAATATCAGCAACAACAATTTCTCCCAATTGGCTGGATAATGGACTGGGGTAAAGTTTAATTTTTTAATATACGTTAAAAAATTACGTAAAAAATGGGTGTAAACGGGAGGGGACGTAAAAAAAAAGGGGGGGGGTGTGTAGCTGCGCAAATTTTATTTACTATCTTTATTAAAAAATTAAATTCACCTCTTCTCCATCGGCTTCTTTATTAATTTGTTTTTCATTTAATTCTTTTTCTCTATTATTATTTCCTTTAAAATTTCCATTTTTAACTGATTTCTTTTACTTTTATTTATTTTGGAGAAATTGTTTTTGTTGTTCCTGTTTTATTTTCTGGTGTGTTTATCATTGTAGTTGTTGTAGGGAAAGTTGTTGGATGTTTTGTTATTGTAATTGTGGTTGAAAGTTTTCTGAATTTGTGAAAATAAAATCAGAAAAACATTATTCTATTAAATTACAATCGAAAAAACCATAATTCTCTACCTTTAAGCATTAGCCATCAACCAAAGCAAATTTCAATTTTTCTGCTTGTGATTTTCTGGTTTTATTCTATACCAGAATATATTTCAATTTTTTGTTAACTAAAAAATATAATATAGTAATTATTAGATTTCCTTCTTTTCTTTTTTCAAAAAATTTCGGGTTTTTGGCTAGGAATATTCAACCAAAACGTTATGGGGCTTAAAAGTTTGCGAAAATACTGACCTTTTCACCTTCTCACTTCTTTCTTTCTCAGCGTTGCTTAACTTCCCAGATTGACACCCACCAATTTTTAAAACTAATGGATTATTTTTTATTTTTGTTTTTTTAAGTTTTTTATTTTAAAAATTTTTTTGTCCGTTTGTAATTCCTTTTTCCATGTATCAGGGGGGGGGGGGGTTGTAAAGATTTTAAAAATATCGGGAGCGGGGTTAAAAACATTATATTTATTTAAAATTTTTTAAATCATGCCTTAAATTTTCTTTTGTATTTTTTTTATTTCTTTGTATTTTCAATTTTTTAAATTTTTTGGTATAATTTCTTACTTAATATTTTTAATAACAAATTTTTTACTTATCTTTGAAGACAATCTTTAGAAAGTTTTTTTGCAAGTAAATTTTTATTCTTTTGGTGGTTTTGTTGGTGGTTGATTTTCTCTAGAATTTTTGGGCCATCACTCCAGTTTCTTTTTTATATCTTCACTCCTTTTTTTTGATTTACTAGCATTCTATTGTTGTCGTCGTCTCTCTTCTTTTTTTAGAAAAAGTATTAAGTAATAGACCTCAATATAGAATACTCTTTGGCATGTTTAATGTGAGGTATCTTAAATGGAGTATTATGCTAGGTTCTTTATTATGTTACAAGGATCCTTTTCCGACATTAAAACTAAAAAATTTTACTTTTGTCTAACCATTCATATAGATTTGTAGCTGCAAATTCAGAACATTTGATTGGGGCATTTCTTTAATTATTAAAAAATTCATTTAAATCTCTCTTGCAAAAAATTTTAAAAATTATTTTTACATTAATTCATAAGGCAAAAGAAAAGCATCGGGTTGTATTCTATATGTATATTCACTAGATTCCCAAATCTTTCGACTCAAGCGGTCGTTCAAATTTCTGCTAGTTGCCCTTTAATTTCTGGATTTAAAAGAATTTTGGGGAAAATACCTGGAATAAATCTATTAATATGATCATAATTGTCATAAAGATCTTTCATATTTTTTCAATCGTTGAAATTGTTCGGTCAAAACTATTTTCATATCTTTTTAGAAAATCTAATTTAGAATTGAAATAAATTTTAAATAGATTCACGTTGAAGAGGCATTGTTTAAAGTAGTCTTAAGTTTAACTTCTTCCTAATAATGATTAAGAAGAGTCCGTCGTTCAGTGGAATACATTTCTGGGAATATTATACTTTTACTTAATTTTGTTTGTTATAAGTTTGTAAATTTAAACTTACGTTAATTGTATGTTAAACATTTGAAGTGAAGGTCATTTTTTAGAGATGATCGATTGTAACTTAAGGAAAACATTAGTATGTTTCTGAGTAAATTTTGTAAATTTGCTACTTAACTTTTGAGACATTAAAAAATTCTTCAGATTCAAGTTCACCAAATTTTCATTTCATTTTTCATTAGGTGGTTCAATTTCAATATTTTTGCAGAATAGTAATGCATTTATTGTATTTTTGTCTACCAGTATTTTTTTGTTGTTTTACAATCAAGTTTTTCTTCGATTAAGATTTTTCTTCATTCCATTTTTTCGTTGTTAAAAATATTTTTCAATATTTTCATTTTTAACTCTTTAGGCGTATATGTAATTGAGGGCGAATTGGGGTGTAAATTCATGGGGGTTTAAAAGGCACTGTATTAATGAAACTGAGGATTTGATATATCTTTCTGTTCCACTCGATAGAGGACCAAGACTTCATATTGCAAAGTGAGTCATTAA